AAAGTGGCACAACCATGGATTAAACCAAGATGTGTCTCATTAAAGAACTTTCACTTTTAAACACTACACTGTAACATTGTTTTGGTTTTTTTTTCACCTTGACTGCTATTTTAGAATAAAATGTGTATATCAAATCTCATTGCAAATTGAAGTGATAAATGTGTATATATGAATCCCGTTTTCCATAAGGCTACCACTTTTTTGCTGTCCTTTAAGGAGAGAACATCTAGCTTCATACTTATGAAAAGTTTTGGAGTAATTAGTGAATGAGCATATTTATGTTATTAATTGTTATGTGGAATACTAACATGGTTATATTTTAGATAACTTTGTCCCATATAGGTTCAGTTCAGTTCAGTCGCTCAGTTGTGTCCGACTCTTTGCGACCCCATGAATTGCAGCATGCCAGGCCTCCCCGTCCATCACCAACTCCCGGAGTTTACTCAAACCCATGTCCATCAAGTCAGTGATGCCCCATATAACTGGTCTCAAATAGTCTCAAAGGCAAAGGAGAAAAGGAAAGATGAACTTAACTGAATTCCAAAGAATAGCAAGGAGAGATAAGAAAGACTTCCAAAAGAACAACTCAAAGAAATAAAGGAAAATAACAGAATGGGAAAGACTGGAGATCTCTTTAAGAAAATTAAAGATACCACAGGAATATTTCATGGAAAAATGGGCTCAATAAAGGACAGAAATGGTAGGAACCTAACAGGAGCTGAAGATATTAGAGATAGCAAGAATACACAGAAGAACTATACAAAAAAGGTCTTAATGACCCAGGTAACCACCATGGTCTGATCACTCACCTAGAGCCAGACATCCTGGAGTGTCAAGTCAATGGGCCTTAGGAAGCATCACTATGAACAAAGCTAGTGGAGGTGATGGAATTCCAGTTGAGCTATTTAAAATCCTAAAAGAGGATGCTGTGAAAGTGCTGCACTCAATATGCAAATTTGGAAAACTCAGCAGTGGCTACAGGACTGGAAAAGATCAGTTTTCATTCCAATCCCAAAGAAAGCAATGCCAAAGTATGTTCAAACTACCACACAATTGCACTCATTTCACACACTAGCAACATAATGCTCAAAATTCTGCAAGCTAGACTTGAATAGTACATGGAACTGAGAACTGCCAGATATACAAGTTGGATTTAGAAAAGGCAGAGGAACCAGAGACCAAATTGCCAACATCCATTGGATCATAAAAAAATCAAGAAAATTCCAGAAAAAAACATCAACTTATGCTTCATTGACTATCCTAAAGCCTATATGTGATCACAACAATCTGTGGAAATTTCTTAAAGAGATGGGAATACCAGACCACCTTACCTGCCTCCTGAGAAACCTGTATGCAGGTCAAGAAGCAACAGTTAGAAAAGGACTTGGAACTACAGACTGGTTCCAAATTGGGAAAGGAGTACATCAAGGTTATATATTGTCACCCTGCTTATTTAACTTAAATGCAGGATACATCATGTGAAATGCCGGGGTTGGATGAGGCACAAGCTGGAAACAAGATTTCCAGGAGAAATATCAATAACCTCAGATATGCAGATGACAAAATCCTTATGGCAGAAAGCAAAGAGGAACTAAAGAGTCTCTTGATGAAAGTGAATGAGGAGAGTGAAAAAGCTGGTTTAAAACTCAGCATTCAAAAAAATGAAGATCATGACATCCAGTTCCATCACTTCATGGCAAATAGACGGGGAAGCAATGGAAACAGTGACAGACTTTATTTTCTTGGGCCCCAAAATCACTGCAGATGGTGACTGAAGCCATGAAATTAAAAAATGCCTGCTCCTTGGAAGAAAATCTATGACTAACCTAGACACCTTATTAAAAAGTGGAGACATTACTTTGCCAACAGAAGTCTGTATAGTGAAAGTGAAAGTGAAAGTCGAAGAGTCATGTCTGATTCTTTCCAACCCCATGGACTATACAGTCCATGGATTTATCCAAGCCAGAATACCGGAGTGGATAGCCTTTCCCTTCTCCAGGGGATCTTTCCAACCCAGGGATCAAACCCAAATCTCTCACATAGCAGGCGGATTTTTTACCCACTGAGTCAAGAGGGAAGCCCAAGATTCCCGACCCAGGAATCAAACTGGGGTCTCCTGCATTGCAGGCAGATTCTATACCAACTGAGCTATGAGGGAAGCCCCTGTATAGTCAAAGCTATGGTTTTACTAGTAGTCCTAATAGATGTGAGATTTGAACTATAAAGGAGGCTGAGCGCCAAAGGATTGATGCTTTTGAACTGTGATGTTGGAGAAGATTCTCTAGAGTCCCTTGGACTGCAAGGAGATCAAGCCAGTCACATCTAAAGGAAATCAATCCTTAATATTCATTGGAAGGACTGATGGTGAAGATGAAGCTCCAATACTTTGGCCACCTGATGTGAAGAATTGACTCATTAGAAAAGACCCTAATGCTGGAAAAGACCGAAGGTAAGAGGAGAAAGGGATGACAAAGGATGAGATGGTTGGATGACATCCCAATTCAATGAAGATGAGTTTGAGCAAGCTCTGTGAGATGGTGAAGGACGGGGAAGCCTGGCGTGCTGCAGTCCTTGGGGTCCCAAATAGTCGGAGATGACTGAACAACTGAATGACAATACTAATGTGGTTATATTTTAGATCACTTTGTCCCATATGACTGGTCTCAAATACCTGGGAGTTTTCTATATAATAATCCAATTGTCTCAGTTCTTTAAACCCTGGCTTAATTAATCAGTCCTTGTATATATTGATTGAACTGTTATTACTGTTTAGTTTTTCACTGAAAATTTTCTGTAACTTAATATCTTCTAATTGTCTCTCCACAGAGTCATAATCTTTTGAGATACAGTAAGTTCAATTATATAAATTTGTTGCTTAGTGAATGCCAGCAAATTATTTTGTTGAATTTCATCTTTGGTTTTTACCACTTGTTATAATAAATTCCATGGATAGGGAAGCTGGTGGGCTGCAGTCCATGGGATCACAAAGAGTTGGAGGCGACTGAGCATGCACACCCTCTTGTTATAATGATACAGGAGCTAGAGCTTAAAACTAATATTATTGATATAATTTGAAGACAGCACTAAGAAAATGTTAGATGTCACTAATTATATTTACCCTCAGTTACAATTGTTCCCCTTTATCTGAGATTTTGCTTTGTATGGTTTCAGTTTCCCATAATCAACTTCATTCTGAAAATATTCAATGGAAAATTCCAGAAATAAACAGTAATTCATGGATTATAAATTGCACAACATTCTGAGTAGTGCCATTATACTCAATCCTACCAAGGATCCACAACCATCAACATGATCATAGCTTGATAATTTAGAATTACAGGAAACAGATCATCCTCCATCTGAGGTACCATCAGGTCAATAGCAGCCTAATGCTGTCACAATTCCTATGTCATTCACCTCACTGCACCACATCATGTAGTCATGTAAGTATATTACATCATCACAAAAAGAAAGATGAGTGCAAGATATTTTGAGAGACAACATTCACATAACTTTCATTTTATTTCATTTATATTTTATTTTATTATTTATTTATTTAGTTTATTTATTTTAGTATATTGTCATAGTTCTATTTTAAGTTACTGTTGCTAATCTCTTACTGTATAGAAAATCAAGATTGTCAGGAGAAATATCAATAACTTCAGATATGCAGATGACACCACCTTTATGGCAGAAAGTGAAGAACAACTAAAGAGCCTCTTGATGAAAGTGAAAGAGGAGATTGAAAAAGCTGGCTGAAACCTCAACATTCAGAAAACTAAGATCATGGCATCCGGTCCCATCATTTCATGACAAATAGATGGGGAAACAGTGGAAACAGTGGCTGACTTTACTTTTTGGGCTCCAAAATCACTGCAGATGGTGATTGCAGCCATGAAATTAAAAGACGCTTGCTCCTTGGAAAGAAAGTTATGACCAACCTAGACAAGCATATTAAAAAGCAGAGACGTTACTTTGCCAACAAAGGTCCATCTAGTCAAGGCTATTGTTTTTCCAGTAGTCACGTATGGATGTGAGAGTTGGACTGTAAGAAGGCTGAGCACCGAAGAATTGATACTTTTGAACTGTGGTGTTGGATAAGACTCTTGAGAGTCCCTTGGACTGCAAGGAGATCCAACCAGTCCATCCTAAAAGAGATCAGTCCTGAGTGTTCATTGGAAGGACTGATGTTGAAGCTGCAACTCCAATACTTTGGCCACCTGATGCAAAGAACTGACATTTGAAAAGACCCTGCTGTTGGGAAAGATTAAAGGCAGGAGAAGAAGGGGACAACAGAGGATGAGATGGTTGAATGGCATCACTGACTCAGTGGACATGTGTTTGAGTAAACTTTGGGAGTTGGTGATGGACAGGGAGGCCTGAGTGCTGCAGTCCATGGGGTTGCAAGGCACTGTACATGACTGAGAGTCTGAACTGAACTGAACTCATGTATAGAAAAAAACAGAATATATAGGATTCAGAATTAACTGCATGTTTAGGCATCCACTGGGGGTTTTGAAATATCATCCCTGGATAAGAGGGAATACTGTAACTCTCCTTTGGGTTTCTGAAACCATTTGTTTGCCCATTTTGTACAACTAAAAAGTAGTCTATAAATAGTTAGTAATATTTATTAATAATTTATTACATGATAACATAAATTTTCAAAGTAAGAAGAATTGGAAATTCCACATAAAAACTGTTGAATAGAATAGGGTCAAAGTAGCAAAGAGATGCCATTATTTGTTCTACCACACTGGGGATTTAAGCCTAAATTATTTAACCTCAGTAGAATTTCATGTGTAAAATGAAATAATTGACATCTTCCTTCTCCAGACCCCCAGAAATTTATAGTGTGTTTTGAATGTTTTAATGACCATTTGTAGTAAAAAATGATCATATACTACAGTACTATATGTAAAACAAGTTTAAATTCTAAGCTCCTAAATTTAGTGTATCCTATTCTTTATTGGGTTCCTTCATAACTCAGTTGGTAAAGAATGCACCTGCAACACAGGAGACCTGGGTTGGGTCCCTTGTTGGAAAGATCCCCTGGAGAAGAGAAAGGCTACCCACTCCAGTATTCTGGCCTGGAGAATTCCACAGACTGTATTGTCCATGGGGTTGCAAAGAATGGGGCAGGACTGAGCAACTTTCACTTTCACTTTATGGGCTTCCCTGATAGCTTAGTTGATAGAATCTGCCTGCAATGCAGGAGACCCTGGTTTGATTCTGGGTTGGGAAGATCCACTGGAGAAGGAATAGGCTACCCACTTCAGTATTCTTGGGCTTCTCTGTGGTTCAGCTAGTAAAGAATCCACCTGCAATGAGGAAGAACTGGGTTTGATCCCTGGGTTGGGAAGATCCCCTGGAGAAGGGAAAGGCTACCCACTACAGTGTTCTGGCCTGGAAAATCCCATAGACTATATAGTCCATGTTTTCACAAAGAGCTGGACATACTGATCAACTTTCACACTGTCACTTTTGTTCTTTATTAATGTAAAGAAAATTCCAGCATTGTTGTTAACTGACTGTGTAGTCTTGCCCAATTTAGTTAATCTTTTCCTGTCTTAATTTTTTGTGATCTGCAAAATGAGGGTAATAATTACAGCTGCCTCATTTAGTTGTTGTAAGACAAAGTGGGTTAACAAATGAAACTAAGAACCTTAAAAATTAGTTTGTATTATATAAGTACATATTCCCTCATTTTGCCCTCCAAAAATATTTCATCAAATTACATGTAATGAGCAGTGTATACAATCTTATAACACTGAGTTTTGAGAATTCTCTCCCTCCAAAAAATGTCTCATCATATCATTTTAACTTGCACTACTCTTTTTAACCTGTGGAATTGAATATTTTTAAACTTTATCAACCATAGTTATTTATTTTTTTTCTTAATGTTTTATTTTATATTGGAATACAGCCAATTAGCAATGTTGTGATAATTTCAGGTGGACAGCAAAGGAACTCAGCCATATGTATATACATGTATCCATTCTCCCTCAAATTTTCCTCCCATCCAGACTGACATAACAGTGACATTAGCAGAGTTCCCTATGTTATACAGTAGGACCTTGTTGGTTATCCAATTTAAAAACAGTCATGTGTACATGTTGATCCTAAACTTCCTAACTATGCCTTCCCCTGAATTTTCTGCTCTGGCAGTCATGTTTGTTCTCTGGGTCTATTTCTGTTTTGAATGAGTTTATTTGTATCATTTTCTTTTAGATTCTGCATAAAAGAGATGTCATACGGTATTTATCCTCACTCAGTATGACATTCTCTAGGTCCATTCATCTTGCTGCAAATGGCGTGATTTCATTCTTTTTAATGGCTGGGTAACATTCCATTGTCTGTATGTACAAAATTTTCTCTATCCATTCCTCTGTCGACGGGCACTTAGGCTGCTCCCATGTCTTGGCTATTGTAAATAGTGCTGCAGTGAACACTGAAATGCATGTATCCTTTCAGATCATATTTTTCTCCAGATATATGCCCAGGGCTGGGATTGCAAGATCATTTGGTAGCTCTGTTTTTAGCTTTTTAAAAGGAATGTTCAATGTTCATTTTTAATACAGATGCAACAGATTTCTGTGTATTAATTTTGTAGCCAGAAACTTTAGCAGATTCATTGATGAGCCCTGGCAGTTTTCTGGTAGCATTTTTAGGATCTTCTATGTATAACATCATGTTCTCTGCAAACAATGACAGTTTTACTTCTTTTTTGTCCAATTTGGATTCATTTTATTTCCTTTTCTTCTCTGATTGCTATAGCTAGGACTTGCATAACTACATTGAATAAAAGTGGCAAAAGTGGACATCCTGTTTTGTTCCTGATTTAGATGAAATGCTTTCAGCTTTTCACCATTCAGTATGATGTGACCTATAGTATGATGTTGTCATGTATGGACTTGAAATATGTTGAAATATGTTCCCTCTATGTGCACTTTCAGGAGATTTTTCATTATAAATTGGCATTGAATTTTGTCAAAATCTTTTACGGCATTTATTGGAATTGTCATATGATTTTTATTTTTCAGTATGTTTATGTGGTATATCACAGTGATTGATTTGTGGACATTGAAAACTCTTTGCATCCCTTGAATGAATCCCACTTGATCATGGTCTAAGATCCTTTTAATGTATTGCTTGATTTGGATTGCTAGTATTTTTTGAAGATTTTTGCATCTATGTTCACCAGTGATTTGGCCTGTAATTTTCTTTTTTTTGTGTGTGTGATATCTTTGTCTACTTTTGGTATTAAGGTGATGGTAGCCTCATAGAATGAGTTTGGGAGTGTTCCTCCCTCTACAGGTTTTTGGACGAGTTTGAGAAAAATAGATATTAACTCTTCTCTAAATGTTTGATATAATTTGATAGAATTTGTGAAGCCATCTAGTCCTGGGCTTTTGTTTCTTGGAAGATTTTTGATCACAATTTTGATTTCAGTGCTTGTGATTAATCTGTTCATAATTTCTACTTCTTCCTGGTTCAGTCTTTGAAGGTTGTACTTTTTAAAGAATTTGTCCAAAAAAAAAAGAATTTGCCCATGTTTTCCAGGTTATTGGCATGCAGTTGCATATAGTAGTCTCTTATGATCCTTTGTAGTTCTGTGATGTCAGTGTAACTTCTCCTTTTTCATTTCTAATTTTATTGACTTGAGTCCCCTCCCCAGCTTTTTTTTCTGAATGAGTTTGGCTAAAGTTCTATTAATGCTGTTTATCTTTTCAAAGAACCAGTTTTTAGTTTAACTGATTGTTGCTATTATTTTATTTGCCTCTATTTCATTTATTTCTGCTCTGATCTTTATGATATCTTTCCATCTACAAATTTTAGATTTTGCTTGTTGTTCTTTCTCTAGTTGTTTTAGGTATGAGATTAAGTTGCTTCTTTGAGAATTTTCTTGTTTCTTGAGGTAAATTTGTATTGTTATAAACTTCCCTCTTAGAAGTGCTTTGGCTGCATCACATAGGTTTTGGACCATTGTGCTTTCATTTTACTTTGTCTCTAGGTATTTTTTTGATCTCCTCTTTGATTTCTTCAGTGATCCATTGGTTGCTTAGTAACTTATTGTCTGGCCATCTTTGTGTTTATTATAGTATGTAGTTATTTCTAATATTGTAGTGCTGTAATCAGAAAATATGCTTGATATGATTTCAACTTTCTTAAATTTACCAAGACTCGCCTGGTGGCCCAGCATATGGTCAGTCCTGGAAAATGTTCCTTGGGTACTTGTGTTTTCTACTACTTTTGGATGGAATGAAGTCCATTTTGTGTAATGTGTCATTTAAGGCATGTGTCTCCTTGTTAATTTTCTCTCTGAATGATTTATCCATTGACAAAAGTGGATGTTGAAGTTTCCCACTATTACTATGTTACTGCTGATTTCTCCTTTTATGGTTGTTAGCATTTGCCTTACATATCGAGGTGTTCCTATGTTGGGTGCATATGTATTTACAATCATTATATCTTCTTGGATTCATCCCTTGATCATTACATAGTGTCTTTGTCTCTTTGTTTTAAATTCTCTTTTGTTTGATATGCATGTTGCTTCTCCAGCTTTCTTTTGATTTCTATTTTCAAAGAATAGCTTCTCTCATCCCGTTACTTTAAGTTTGTATGTTTTCTTAGACATGAGGTGTATCTCTGGTAGACAGCATTTATACAGGTCTTGTTATGTATATCAAGCCAGTCTATGTCTTTGGTGTATGTAATCCATTTACATTTAAGGTGGTTATCAATGTGTATGTTCCTATTACCATTTTTCTTTTTTTAAAGTCTCTAATAGTTTGTTTTTTTAATATTTACTTAATTTTAAGTAATTTATGATTGATTTGCAATATTATTTTGATTTCTGTCATATATCAGCATGAATTAACCATTGGTGTACATATATCCACACCCTCTTAAATCTCCCTACCATCTCCTGTATTGTTTTTGTTTGTTTTTATAGGGTTTTTTCCTTCTCTTGTGTTTCCTGTCTAGAGAAGTTCCTTCATCATTTATTGTAAAGCTTGTTTGGTGGTGCTAAATTCTTTTAAATTTGCTTGTCTGTAAATCTTTTGACTTCTTGATCAAATCTAAATGAAAGCCTCAGTGGGTAGAGTATTCTTGGTTGTAGTTCCTTAGCTTTCGTCACTTTAAATATATCATACCACTGCTTTCTGGCTTTCTGTTGAGAAATCACTTGAAAATCTTATGAGTTCCCTTGAAAACCTTATAAGAAACCTTATGAGCAAAATTTCCCTTTTGCTTTTATTATTTTATTTTTGTCTTGAAATTTTGCCAGTTTTGTTGCATTTATTACATGTATCTTGCTGTTTTCCTCCTTGGGTTTATCCTGCCTGGGATTCTCTGTGCTTTGTGGACTTGGGTACCTGTTTCCTTTATGGGGAAAGAAAGATTTCAGCTATTATCTCTTTATTTTCTAAGGTCCTTTCACACTTCTCCTTCTGGGACCCATAAACTGTGAATGTTGGTACATTTAATGTTGTTCTGACATGTCTCTTAGCCTGTCTTCATTTCTTTTCATTCTTTTCTCTACATTCTGTTCCACAACAGTGATTTCCACCATTTTGTCTTCCAGGTCACTTATTCATTTTTCTGCCTCAGTTATTCTGTTTTTGATTCTTTCTAGTATATTTTTCATTATGGTTATTGTATTGTTCATCTCTGTTTGTTCTTTAGTTCTTCTAGGTCTTGTTAAACATTTCTTGCATCTTCTCCATTCTTTTTCTGAGATGCTGGATCAACTTTACTGTCATTACTCTGAATTCTTTTTTCAGAAGGTTTTTTCTGGAAGGTTGCCTATCTCCATTTATTTAGTCGTTTTTCTGGAGTTTTATCTTGTTCCTTCATCTGGTACATAATTCTCTGCATTTTCATTTTGTTTACTTTCTGAGATTGTGATTTTCATTCTGAAGGCTGCAGGATCGTAGCTTCTTCTAGCTTTTGCTGTCTTACTATATTTATGCCTTCATGAAAGTTTCTCTTTACATTTCTCTATCATAATATTTGATATGGGTTCTTTATATATTAAGACTACTATTTTTATCAGTCTATGTGACATTGTTAAATTCTGTTTATGATTATCTATCTTTGAAAGTTAGGGAAAGAAGAGCATCTTCTTTTTGGTAAGAGTCTTAAAATACAGACTATCAATTGTCACTAAATTTTTTTGAGAAGCAAAGAAATTATAGTCTTTTTTATGTATGTATCTCACCACATCCATTGAACTGATAAGTCCACCTTATTACATAACTAGAGAGAGGAGTGTGTCATTCAATGCAATTTTTTATATGAGTTA